ATGTGATCCTTCAACTATATGTATGTAAAATCATGTTACTAATAGGTTTTACATTATGAAACAACTCCTATTTTTTTGCCTTAGTTTAATGGGTTGTCCTTTCACAGTTAAATATCTTCCAACTGCCGAGTGCCGACCCCAAATTAGGGCTATATATATATATAATGATAATGGTGATGATGATATGATGTGATTATGATTATTATATATAATTTGTTTAAAGAAATTATTCAAGATTTCTCTGAATAATGAATCAAAATAATTGGATCAGGCATTGTGGCCCATTGTCTGATCTTATTTGCTCTGGCTTGAAACCTTTTTGGTTCCTCTTTCTATTCCTGTGAGGGGAATGTCTTGTTTAAAAGAAAGAGAACGCCTCTCATAGTCTTGCAAAATTATCAGGGACGATTTCATGAAGGTAAGCTATTGAATCACGTTGCCGCTTAAATCTAGAGACTGTTTTTAAGCAGAATAGTCAATGTAATGAAATGAATTAATGAAAGATAGGATTTCAGGCTATATAGATTTGCTCACTGTTTTCGAATTAGTGAATCTGAGATTTTTCTCTGTATTTATCCTGTTAACACTAGAAAGCATAATGTGACATATCGGTCTACTTTGTTCACCATGACAGGTTTTATGCCTTTGTACATGTATGTCAGTATTGTGAAGATACATTTTTAATGTAAATAGAATAAAAGGGGAAAGGGGTCTGAGAAGTGGGAAATTGGCAGTTGAGACAGGTCATGTGAGAGTACATTAGAGAAGTTTGTTTCTGAGTTTTGTAATTGTGGGATGTTTTTGTATCTGTTGCCCTGCATGTATTCATATAAACTGGATACTTCCAATCCATAATCTTTGAAGTGATTTTATAAATTTCATAATAAATAAATAAAACATCCATAAGTTCTTGCTGTGTTTGTTACATTTGAAGAGAAAATAAAATGTAAATTTGACTAGTAGCATTATGGATTAATATATAATAACAGTTTATTTCCAATTTAAACTGATTATAACCTTTCCCTCTTTTTTCTAGCAGCTGGCTGTATTAAGCTCTCAGTATTAGGTGCTGCTCACACTGAGTGAAGAACCTCATAGTGTTGGACTTTGATGAAGGCAGTCAGTGGGAGTTCCATTTTAAAGTGGAATTGAAAAATATGGCAGATTCGGCATGTCGTGAACTGATCATAAAGGCAATATTCATCTGCCTTCTTAAACTTGCTTTCAGCTACAGTTTCAGGAGTTGCATAGAGATCCCTGATTCTAACCATAAAATCTTCAGATGCATTAAATGTCATGAAACAGACATAACTACAGTTGTGAGCGATGTATTTCACACTGCAACAAACCTTACAGTTTCTCGGAATAACATTGCATACATTCAAGGCCAAAGCTTCCATCATCTGTCCAATCTGACTTCTCTGGTACTAGACGCTAACCATATTGTTAACATCCACAAAGATGCTTTTAATAACCTGCAAAAACTTCAGACTTTAAACCTGTCCTGCAATTACATATCATCTCTCCACCGTGATGTCTTCAGTGACTTACATAACCTCACAGAGCTGCTCCTGGGAAACAATAATCTCACTAATATTGATATGTTCCTGTTTTCCAATTTGACAAACCTCAAGATTCTTGACCTACGCCGGAACCACCTGAAAAACTTTTCAGCTTTTGTTGAATGTATAACAAACCTGTACAGCTTGATACAACTGGATCTTTCTTTTAACAAGCTAACCACCCTGCATCACTCCACCCGTCTGCCAAACTCGCTTGCCAAACTCTACCTCAGCGATAATAAACTACACAAACTGGGATGTGACAAGTCTTTCCTAAAGTATGTGAAAGTTCTAGATTTATCAGACAACACATTACTGTCATCCAAGACTTTTCAGGGCCTGAATCTGGAGTATATAAAGTACCTGCGCTTGCGCTTTACCAAAGTCTCCGCTAGGAAGCTTCTTAATTATACCAATATACAACCAAGGCACATCGACTTCTCTGGTTTGAATCTGAAGGATCATGCACTGACTTCGCTGTGTTTTCATCTGCGCGATCATCAAATACCTAAAATGTTACTCCAGAGCAATGCCATCAGAGTTCTAAACAAAAACACATTTTGTAATTGCTCCAATATCACTGATGTAATGGACCTCTCACGTAACAATATGAAAACCACAGGCTGCTTGCAGTTTCTGCACTGTCAGAAACAACTGGAAACTCTCAAGATTGAACATAACCATCTGACCAATCTAATGTCCTGCAAAAAATGTAAAAAGGTCTACAGCTTGAAAAGCCTGAGCTATCGATACAATCGTATTCTACAGGTTAATGGTTATGCCTTCAGTAATACACCAAAATTAACAAACCTTGAGCTAAACATAAACATAATTGCCTATTTGGACCATAAAGCCTTAAGTGGACTCAAAGATCTCGTCACACTTCGTCTCGACAACAATCTTTTGACCGATATCTACAATGACACCTTTGAAGATCTTACCAGCCTGAAAACTCTCAACCTGCGCAACAACCAAATAGCTGTGATTTTCAACTATACCTTTCAAAATCTGTCAAATTTAATGATTTTAGATTTAGGGGGGAACAAGATCACGCAGATGAAGCCACATGCATTTGATGGGCTGGAAAGCTTGGCCAATCTGTATTTAGATAGAAATCGTCTGAAAGTGATTGACCGCATGCTCTTTGGAAAACTTCATGCCACCCTGCAGGTGCTGGATTTACAGGCTAACCACATCATGTACTTTACAGAACATACATACTCACCATTTATAAATATGTCAAGGCTTCTTGATCTGAAACTTGAAGCACAGGAACCAAATGGCATAAACTTGTTGCCACGTGCATTTTTCCGTGGTCTAACTTCTCTGAAAAGTCTTTACCTCACTAACAACCATATCATTGGATTCGGTGCCGAAACATTTGATGACCTGAAAAGCTTGGAGTTCTTAACTCTGGACAACTCATGTGTTGGGATCGCCCAGCTCAAACCTGGTATTTTCAAAAACCTTCGAAACTTAAAGATTTTATCCACTGAGAACATGGGCATTACATCATTTTCTAAAGAGGTCTTTGGAAATCTCACAGGACTGAAGCAACTACATCTCAATCGCAATGCCATGATGTCTTTGGACATCAGTTTACTGGACAATCTGACCAATCTAACATACGTTGACTTGCGCAGCTGTCCTCTCAGTTGTGGCTGCCAGAATAGTGAACTACAGAACTGGACCTTAGGCAGTAAGAGACTCCAGTTTCCTTATCTTTTCAATATTACATGCCAAGACCATCCAGGCTCGTTTTTTCACAACTTCGACACTAATGTGTGTTATTTAGACATAGCACTCTACCTGTTTTCCTCAACGTTTACATTCACAATCTTACTTAGCTTGATACCACTTCTCTATGTCAGACTTTACTGGAAATTTAAGTATGGCTACTATGTGTTTCGATCATGGTTTGGAGAACAGTGGCGCCGTTTAAGGGACCAGGAGGAGAAATACAAGTACGATGCCTTCGTTTCCTACAACTCAGCAGATGAAGACTGGGTAATGGAACAGCTGCTGCCAAACCTTGAGGGTTCTTCATTTCGGCTCTGCCTCCACCACAGAGATTTCGAGTTAGGCCGCGATATTGTCGACAACATTGTGGCTGCCGTATACGGCAGTCGCAAAACGATCTGTGTGGTCAGTCAGAGCTTCCTTCGCAGTGAATGGTGCTCACTGGAGATCCAGTTGGCCAGCTATCGTCTCTTTCAAGAAATGCAGGATGTGCTTTTGCTGGTTTTTCTGGAGCCTACCCCTGAGCGGCAACTGTCCACTTATCACCGTATGAGGAAGGTCATGCTCAAAAAGACTTATTTGCAGTGGCCTGGGCCAAACTGTTCAGATCCAAACAGTGCAAAAGAACTGTTCTGGAATCAGTTAAAGAGAGCACTAAGGAGCAGCAACACTGGAAGCCAAGAGGAGCAGAAAATGAAGGAGCAGAATGATCAGAGGAGACGAGACAAAGAGGGTACGGACAAGGAGGAAAGAGAATATTGTGTGAATCAGACACCAACAGATGATGAAGTATATTACCTGATGCCCTGATTACAATGACATATGTAAGACCACATTGAATCTGTACAATATAAGAACAAATTTAATGAACTTCAATAAAAGTAAATTAAAAGGCTGTAAATTCTGCAGGCTTGCAAACATGTAAAAAATAATAATGGAAAAGATACAAACTCACTGGAAGCCATTTTAAATTTTAATTAGGCATTTATGGTCAAATTTAATAAAAATGTAATAAATACATAAATGAATATATACGTACATACAAATTCATCAGGTAAAATAGCTGTGATCTGTTTACCTTCACAAGAGTACTACAAAGTTGAATTCTTACATTTCAGTTTACTACAATATATTTTACCAAATATAAATGTAAATTGCTAAATCGGTTTGATGTAAAGTTTTGTAATTTTGTACTGCTTTATTAAAGAATATCACAAAATCATATGCATCTTTTTTTTTTTTACTACAGAATACTGAACTTAATGATAAAAGTCCAGTCAAGATATATAGAAGAAATCTGACAAAAAAATAAAAATAAAATAATAATCAAATAAATAAATAACCAATCAGCATCATTGTGAACAAGCATTTACCCTATTAATTCAGGAAAATAAACGATAACTAATGTGTGGTGCTTTTAATATTTGTGCAGCACAAAGAGTGATTTGTTTTTAAGAAGTTTCATTCACTCTTAATACCTGTGTTACCAGTATATACCAATTCACCAAAGAAATCATGACTGTACATAATTTGAGCACACTGGACCCTCAAATTCAAATCTAATGTAGAGGTAATGGTCTTTCAAAAAAAATTGTAACTCAGAAAACAGCTTTGCTAAAGGTAAAGTGGAGGGTAAAATACCCTAGCTGGTGTGTTTGTCCTGGGACAGTGAGTCATACCAAGACAGTCTGACCTGTGCTAGGCGTTAGATGGATGTGGACAACGAAAAAAAGGCTTGTACTGAAAGCCCTCAGAGAGATAGGATGCTGAGAATGACAAGGGAGCCCATCTTTCTTTTTCATCCTGAACTTGCTGCTGATGGGACCAGAATCTGGATCCTCCAAAAGATGCTTGTGGTTTTTGTTTTCTGCTCTCATATATGTGATATGAATTCAAATCAAGACCTTTGTCTTCCCTCCACTGTTGAGAGATTCTAGAGAGATCTAAATCCACATTTTTCAAACTTTCCACTCTGCTTAGTGGCTGTTGCTGAGAATTGGAGTTTACAGGATGATCAACCCAGGTGGGGCTTCTGAGTATAGGGACGGCATGCTGGGTAAAGGTCTGTTCCTGGTTAAAGAGTCGTCTGCTGTGATGTTGCTGAGCTCTGATGCAATCCTGAGACAATCCAGCTGCCCTCCACTGGTCAAACTGCAAAGACTAACCAATCAAATTCACGTGCAAAATATCCATACAGTCCTGAACTTTTAACCTCTGTAATAGTCTAGTTTACAACTACCTGTTTTATTTGGATTTGATTCTTTACTTCATTACTCACCATGTCAGTGTGTGACTGTCGTGGTTCTTCAAGGGAGAAGAGAGTGGACGATGTCTTCCACTCTTGTATCCGTTTCTTGGTGAAAGCTCGTCTATCCAAGTCCTGCTTAACTTCCTGTGCTAAGTAATCTTGTTGCATGGCACTTTCTAGGATACAGAAAGGTAATTTAAAACATGTACACAACTATATATGAAACAATGGACAGTGGCACTGTGCAATATTTTTTAAAAAATTATTATTTATTTTTTTTGTCAGGATATAAAAATCCAGTTTGTAAATACAATGATTTCAATAACGATAAGCATATTTTGAATTTCTAAATTAAAATTAATTTTGTTATTTTTGGAGTGCATTAAGTCAAAAATGGATAATACAACTGTCCTGATACAATAAAAAAAAACTACAGAATAATTTTGCATAATCATTATTATTTTAAGTTTTTTGAAAATCAAGATGTGTACACTCACATGTATTCAAAGTGTGAGGAAAATGTTATTACTTGATGGTTACACCATGACATTTTTAAAGACATTAAATTTTCAGTTATTCATTTGTCAAATACTCTTTATCCAAAGTGATTACATTGTTATCATTATTATCAAGGTATATATATTTTTGCATTCCCTGGGAATCCTTGCTGTTGTTTACATCATGCTCTACTGCACGAACTATAGGAATGACTGTAGCTTTAAATTTAAAATGTTGTTAAAAATGGTAGTTTTTTAAGCCATCAAGGAATTTATCACATGCATTTTAAACTGTTTTTCTAAATGAATTTTCTTCTGTTTGTCTTGGACATTTTTTTTTTTTACAAATACGAATGTAAAAGAGTGACATACCTGTCCATATCACCATGTTCCTGCTATAACACATATCCTCATTCTCCACTGCATGGCTAAAAGGTGAACAATCTTCAGCTCTCTGTCCTGAGCTCAGCCGAGAAGCCATCTGATTCCCATTTAAGAATGAATGTAGCCTGTGCAGGTTGTGATCTAATTGGAAACTGTGTCTTTTTTGTAAAGTCTGTAGTAGCGCCTCTCTACACTCTACCAGCAGGGGCTGTTGACGGCTTGGCACACAGAGCTCTGAACTCTGGCACAAACGTGTCGCGAGCCTTTTCAGTGCTTCCCTACATGAGACTGACATTTGCTCTCTTTGCTCAACATTGTCCCCTACTTGACCAGCCCCAGAGTCCAGGTCAGATAGAGAGGTTAAAGTCTCGAACATTTGAGTAACTTCCATGCTTGGGAATCCCACTGTTGTAGAGTTTTTCTCAAATCTCTGAATATTCATAAAAGCATTTTCTTGGTTTCCTTCATCATGGGACTTGAGATTGCCTGTTTGTAAAACATCAGAGTTATTCTTAGTTTCAGCTGGAGTAGAGCATAACTGGTGAACCGGTTCATTTTCTGAGGATGACAAAACCACATGTTCGGTTTCTCTAGGGGGCCTACTCAGACTATCTTGCCTTGTTTTGCTTTTTGTATCTTCCTTTCTGGTGTTGGCATTTCTGTCATGCTTCCCATCTTCTCTAGATGGTCGCATAAATACAACTCCTCTATTAGTATGAAAAACACTGTTTTTTTCCTCATTTCTTGCACTTTTCTTCCTGCACTTTTGTGGAGGCGTATTATTTTCTGGTTCCTGGAGAGGTTCCTGTACTTCATAGAGAGTGCCGTCCAGGTCTGAATCAGGTACAGAGGGAGGCATCGGTGATGACTGTTTTCTTTGCTCTTTTCTCTGCTTGTCTCTCTTTATTTGCTCGCTCACCAGCCTCTCAATATCTATGGACCTAATCTCATGGCTGAAAAGACCTCGGATGGAAGTAAGGCGTCCTTCAGTTATGATGCTTGGCTTCTGGTGTATGAATGGCATAGTGAATGCCCTCTCTTTTCTAGAACATGACAGTGGATGATGTGCTTTCTCACCGCCTTCTCTTCTGCTGTTCTGAGAACATGGACGATACCTGTTTCTCTCCAGACCTCGAATCTGATTCCTCTCCTTCCTGGTTTTAAGACGCCTCGCATTATGTGACGAGTTGCAATGCACATCTGTTTTTATGCTGCTAGAGCTCACTGATTTGCCGGTATAGGCAGCATTGGCTGTATGACATGAAGACTTGGCTGTGCTACTGTGACGGTCATTGAATGTCTTCGGCAAGTTATGTTTAAGTGGAAAGCTTTTGCTGGATTGGTGGCTCATCTTCATGTTAAGACTATTAAACACAAGTTATTAAAATACAAAAAATATGTTTGTAATGCATTTATAATTCAGGTAAATAGTCTAAGTTAACAATCTCATACTTATTGTGGTTACCCCTAGCACTTTTAGGTTCACCATATGGCAACATTTAGCAACATACCTCAAATGAACAGCATTCTTTGTGTTCAAACTGAAATACTTTCTTCATTGTCAAATATATATACATATATCAAATCATCAAATAAAATCGGCATGTAATTGAAGTTCAAAGGCCGTTAAGTTTTACCTTTCCGTTGCTTGGCAACATGGTTCAAAGATGGACGTCAAACGCAGATCTCTGCGAAGAAAAAAAAACTACGGTCAAGAGGATTGGTATTAAGTAATGTTTGAATGTTTTACGTAAATCAAAAACGAAGGAGATTTAATTAACCTTTTCGCGTTTATAACGTATAATGTTATTTTATAGAGCGACCGTTATCGGCGATCTTCTAGTAATGCCTGGTTCGATATTCCAGCTTCCGGGGTTTGGCAGCAGCAGACCGCTGGTTGACCGATTGAACACAGGGCTCTGCTGTGGTAACACTTATTGGTAACGAGTTTCCCTGTCTTTTATTAATAAGAATCGACATAAGTGTTAACATGTATTATATATACTTATATGCAAAAGTATGATGTTACGCAGTGTTTAACGCATTGGGCCTTGCTCTTCTAAATAGAAGGGATCTGCATGCTAAGTGCTAACGTTACATTAGCCGTGGGAGCTGCACAGTAAACTGCACTAAGGAGAACGTTAGAGAAAGTTAACTTTTATACATATTAAAACTTCCAATTATTATTTATAAGACATTAGTTTTGCACCAACTTGTTTGTGAGGTTAACTGCAATGCAAACTTCATCCAAAAATGGCACCAAACAAACTAATTCAGCTGTGAAAAAAATAACGTTACTGTATTTGTGGTTTTCATAGAAATGCGTACAAAGTACATAAACTACAGAACAACTTGTCAAAAGGTCATCATGAGTTTTAATATTTTGTATGCTTAAAACACAACGTTGTACTCAAAATGTTTAAATTAAATTAAACGGTCTAATATGAGGATACATATTAAACGCTTTCGGAGAACATGTAACCTGTCATGTCCCTCTATGTCTCCCCTCAGGAAGTGATGAGTGAAGATTCTAACACTGCAGCCTCACCCACCCCCTGTCAGGACATACAGGGAGATGGTCGATGGATGTCATTGGTGCTTCTTTTGTATAATAATATATTTACAACCTTAGTGTCCCTATTAGGCTGCTTATATATTACTTTGTTTTAAACACTTAGCCAGTACCTTCTCTAATATGCAAAGGGAGTCTTAATAGCATTTTTATGTGTTCTCATCTTGCAGCACAATCGATTTGTATCAGACAGTAAAGGAAAAGAGCCTGATGTTCTGTTTGTTGGAGATTCACTTGTCCAGCTTCTGCATGAGTTTGAGGTATAGCAAAGTATCTGCATCTCCTTCTTCATTCTTCATATCTGTCATTCATATCAGTGACTGCACACATATTTATGTGTTTTTGTGTAAACATTTTTTTGTGTTTGTTGGCAGGTTTGGCGAAAACTGTTTTCTCCTCTCCATGCTCTGAATTTTGGGGTTGGTGGGGATGCTACACAGCATGTATTGTGGAGACTCATAAATGGAGAACTGGACTACATCAACCCAAAGGTTGATATGATTTAATTAATTTTATTTAAGAGTTTTACCAGTTATTACATTTCTCATTACTTTAGACATTACTTTAAATAAATAATAATCATTCTTTAAAATACTCTTAGAGTTTGGTTTTCTCATTTTACAAACTGATAGATTTTTCTCAAAATGAAACCAGTGTTGTTCAAAACCAAGCTGTTCAAAATATTAAGGTGGAGTATCTTCACCTTATACAAGACGGTCCAGATAAACTATGTACATATAAACAGTAAATCTATGCATTTATTCTTAGAAGTGAATAATTCGTGTATGGATCCCTTATTTGTGTTGGGACATGAAAGAAAATGACTCTATTTAGGCATCTTAAAGAGGAAATAACAAAACAAATGTTGAAGACCCTCTTGTAGAAAAATAGAGTAAGTAGAATTGTAATATTTTGTGTGTTTGTATACAGGTGGTGATGTTGTGGGTAGGCACTAATAATCATGGTCACACCCCAGAACAGATATGTGGAGGCATCATGGCCATCATCAATGTGATCCATCAGAAACTGCCTCATGCTCACACTCTTGTATTGGTTAGTTATCTCAGCTCCTACCTCTCTATCACAGTATTGTTTAATTCTTTTAAATAATTTAATTTTTAATTAAATTCATCATACCAGTATTGTCAAAGTCAAAGTGCCATGTTCATAGCTATTGTGACTTGATCAGCAGAGAATTGGGTAACATAATACCTTTTAAAAAATGTAATTCAAGGATCAGGAGATAAAAAATTATACAATATATTATTATTTTAAAATAATTCAAATAATTTCATCATATAAATGAAAGAATTAATCACATTTACTATAATGCACACTACTGTTCAAAAGTTTGGGGTCTGTAATATATATATATATATTATATATATATATTTTTTAAAGAAATTAATGCTTTTATTCAGCAAGGATGCATTAAATTGTTCAAAAGTGACAGAAATACTTTGTAGCATTATAAAAGTCTTTATTGTTTCAAACATGTGCTGTTCATTTGAACTTTCTATTCATCAAAAATCCTGAAAAAAAATGTATCACAGTTTCAACAAAAATATTTAACAGCACAGCTGTTGTCAACATTGATAATGATAAGAAATGTTCCTTGAGCAGCATATCAGCATATTACAATGAAAGATCATGTGACACTGAATACTGGAGTTACGGCTGCTGAAAATTCAGCTTTGCCATCACAGGAATAAATATTCTAACATTTTATAATAAATTTTAAGTTGTAATAATATTTCACAATATTACAGTTTTTACTGTATTTATGATCAAATAAATTGCAGCCTTGGTGAACAAAAGACTTGTTTCAAAAACATTATTTCTAAAGAAAAGTCTACTAACCCCCAACTATTGAATGGTAGTGTATATTCATTATATATTAATTTTAACCTGTTATTATCAGTGTAGCTGTTGTTTTAAATAGAAACCCCCCTTTTTTCTCCATTATCAAAGTATCTTTCATGACATATAAAAACTGTAGTATCTCAGTCGTTATCTCAGACTGTTATAATGCTTTTTCATCAGACTTGTTGGCTATAATGGAATGTAATACTCTTTCTTTCCTCTCCACTAGGGGTTGCTGCCGAGAGGTAAAAGTCCAAACCCTCTTCGCGAGCGTAACGCGAGTGTGAATGCTCTAGTTCAGGCTGAGGTAGCGTCTCTGTCTCATGTCTCCTTTCTGGACGTGGACCCTGGGTTCATTCACTCAGACGGTTCCATCGCACATCAGGACATGTATGATTATCTGCACCTCACGCCGCAGGCCTACCAGAGGGTGTGCCAGCCCTTACATGAACGCATCAAATCCCTGTTAGATAAACATGCTCCCTGAACGCAAAACAAAATACAGTACAGCATACACCCTTTCCTGCACGTGAACGGATGTTTCATCCTTTATGCTCTACAATTAGGGCATTATTGAGATATAAACACCCTCAGGAAAACTAATGACTATTTAATAGACACAAACGCATATATATATATATATATATATATATATATTACATGCTTTCTGTCGATATGCATTGCTGCTTCCTTGTTACTACAAAAATAGATTTTATCGTTCGTTGAGAACCAGCTTAACGGCATAGTTCATCCAAAAATAAAAAATGGTGTTGTCATTCTTCATGTAGTTCCAATCATTGTATGATTCATCTATTTTTGTCCCCAAATGCATTTTCTTCTGTGTTTCATAGAATAAATAG